TACCACTTTATACTGGTTTTTATTGGTCCATACTGGTCCATACTGGTTTATACTGGTTTCCGGCAGCGCTGGCCGCCGTCGGGGGGTACCAGGGCCTGCTGGAGCGCTACCCCCTGGCCCTGCCCCCCAACTCCACGGGGCCCTGCGGGCGACCCCGGCCCGACGCCTTCCACCTCCTGCGGCACCCGAGCAACGGCGACCTCCCCTGGCCGGGGCTGGTGCTGGGACTGGGAATCATCTCGGCCTGGTACTGGTGCACCGACCAGGTGGGACTGGGGGCACTGGTTATACTGGGAGGGGACTGGGAGGCACTGGGTTATACTGGGAGGGGAGTGGGAGGGACTGGGTTATACTGGGAGGGGACTGGGAGGGAGCACTGGGCTGTTTCTGGGCTGTAACTGGGAGCACTGGGAGTGACTGGGAGCACTGGAAGGGGACTGGGTTATACTGGGAGGGGACTGGGGGGCACTGGGAGGGACTGAGAGGGACTGGGAGGGGACTGGGTTATACTGGGAGGGGACTGGGAGGGACTGGGTTATACTGGGAGGGGACTGGGAGGGAGCACTGGGCTGTTACTGGGCTGTAACTGGGAGCACTGGGAGTGACTGGGAGCATTGGAAGGGGACTGGGTTATACTGGGAGGGGACTGGGGGGCACTGGGAGGGACTGGGAGGGACTGGGAGGGAGAACTGGGCTGCAACTGGGAGCACTGGGGTGTAACTGGGCTGCAACTGGGAGCACTGGTCAGTGACTGGGAGAGACTGGGAGCACTGGGTTATACTGGGTTATACTGGGTTATACTGGGTTATACTGGGAGCACTGGGACCTCCCCTGGCCAGGGCTGGTGCTGGGACTGGGAATCATCTCGGCCTGGTACCGGTGCACCGACCAGGTGGGACTGGGGGCACTGGTTATACTGGGAGGGCACTGGGAGGGACTGGGTTATACTGGGTTATACTGGGAGGGGAGTGGGAGGGACTGGGTTATACTGGGAGGGACTGGGAGGGAGAACTGGGCTGCAACTGGGAACACTGGTGTGTAACTGGTCAGTAACTGGTCCCACCAGTCTGTAACTGGTCTCTAACTGGTGCAACTGGTCTCTAACTGGTCCCACCAGTCTCTAACCAGTTTTTAACCAGTCTCTAACTGGTTTCTATCCAGTCTCTAACTGGTTCCTAACTGGTCAGTAACTGGTCCCACCAGTCTCTAACTGGTCCCACCAGTCTCTAACCGGTTTCTAACCAGTCTCTAACTGGTCAGTAACTGGTTTCTAACCAGTCTCTAACTGGTCTC